GGGTGGTTCGGCATAAGGTATACCCAAAAACTGGTCAATACTTACGTTCAACACATCTATCGTCTGACCCCTCACTACACCCGATGTTGTCTTCACATCAATGCCAGCCGTCAATTGGTTTTGAGAAACAAACAAAACATATCCTAAAAGTAAATAAATGTTCATTTTTTCTATTTATATGTTTATTATTTTACAACAAATAAATAAATTATTAAATTATAAACTAGATTCTTGATTTTATTTATACCATAATTTGGAAAATGTATCTTTATCAATTTATGCACTATACTAAATTGATAAAAGTCCTTTTGCATGATAATTGTTATAATTTACTACAATACTACTGCTAATAAAGTACTTTAGTAATAATAAAATTGATAATATAAACTTTATTTGTCAAAATAAAAGCATGGTAACATATAAAAGTTTTATAATAAATCAATGACATTTTTAAACTTATCAAGATGTATAATACATTATTTGATTAAGTTATAAAGTAATACTATTTGGAAGATGACCAAGATCTTTTAAGTGCACTAAACGCTCCTAGGGTTCTTATTACAATATAAATTAACTACTGCAATATTATAGTATTTTTGCAGTTGTGTAAATAAACATATTGATATAATTGACAATGTAAAGAATTAATAAAATTTTTAATGGAAGTATTTCTACGTTATTTTTATGAAAGAATGTTTTTTCTGTAGAGATAATGTTTTTCCTGTTGAGATATATTAAAATAATATGACCATTTTAATAAATCTATTGTTTGTTTAAAATATGCATGTCTCATGCATTTTTGCATATTTCTGTAAAAGTCTAATGTATAATCATTTAATATTAAAAGTTTAATTACTCAATTACTATTTACGTTATTAAGTTATACGTAAAATAATAGAAAATAGTTGTAAACAACGTGATAAGACAGTCTGGCTTAGAGTGGGAGACAGAAAACTATGGCCAACAGAACTACGCTAAAAGTGTTAAATTAAAAGTTAAAAGGCATAAAATCTATTAAACTATATACAACCATATATTTTACAAATTGATAGACCACATAAAACCATATATGAGTTAGAATTATTCATAATATGCTTAACTTTTTCATCAGCTTTAGTCACAGCTAAAGTCAATTTTTTTAAATGATTGATTCAATGGT